CCAGTTATTTCACTATCAATAGCAGCATCCTCTTCATAATCATCCACACAATACCATAATCACACATTGTGCTTTACAAATAGAAAGTAGAAGAGCAGAAGTTTAGCCCAGCTCAAGGAGGCCCGGCTATTACTGATACTAAAGAGCTCACACTTCTTCAACGGCTAAATTTACCTCCTATTTCCTGGCCTAAAGAGCTTGTGGCCCACGAGCCACCCTTCAGCAACACCTTCCTTCACACCTGCTATCCCAATAGTATGGAAGAAAAAAAACCTGCGAGAGCTGATTGCTGCTCATCGGAAGGACCAGGGACCACATCACTTGGCAGAAGGAAAGCAAGCACAAGCCACCAGCATGTCTAGAAAACTGACTGTCCATCACTCCCACAAGGGACGATGAGAATCCCCAAACGCCGGGCGGTGAAACACACCTGTCCTCAGACAGTTGTGCTTATACAATAAACACTGAGTGGGAAGCACACACACGAAGACGACTTTTCGATGAGATCCCAGCTCAGATTAAGCTGTTTGCTGCCTGAGAACCAAATCCTCCTCTGAAACCCAGGTAGACACGTCCTGTTATCATGATCCGATTTCCTAAGAGGAGCTGCATCACCTCCGGCACTGCTTGTCAGATTTCATGTGTTAAAATAGGTTGGGATGGGTCAGTATTGCTATGGGAGGACATCAGGATGATGTAAGGAAAGGTAATGGCACTCGTCCTTCTCTGACTCATTACTGTGCAGTAATAAGCCAGAAATAGACCTTGGTGACAGAAGACAGGGGGATGAGAACTTGAACGTGGACTCGAACTCTCTTGTGGCATTTGTCACGCCTAACACAGACAAATACACGAAGGATGCTCTAACACCACATGCTGACATCCTCCCACAAGGATTGCTGGAAATGAATTTCCATCTGAGGGAAATGCCAGTTGTCCGAAATTGCTTCTGCTTCAAATCAGCGAAGCAGAAGTTGGAATTTTAAATTTCTCTGCAAAATGAAAAATCAGGAAAGCCTGTGATTCAGAACTACTAAAATGCTTCATTTTATGTCAAACCATGTCAATAGTATCCCATAGTATTAAAGAATTTACAATACAGCATGTGCAAAAACATATATCAAAATATAAAACTGAAATTAATCAGAAATATGAAATAAACCGGGGGGGGTGTGTGTGTAGTCAAAACAGTTCATTTAAACATTTTTATATACATAAACCTCATTTAGATCAAGTCTTTGGAAAAAAAAAAAAACAGATTTCACCAAAAGTGCACTTCAGAAGAAACAGTACTGGGAACATGTTTTGGACTAGTTTGACTTGTTCCACTATCATACATTTCCTGATACCAGAGTTGGACATTACATCAGAGCATGCTGCTGCTCAGACTAGCAGGGCAGAATGATTTTCTAAGAGATCATAAGTCCCAATTTCCCATAAACGTATTGAAGTCTCTTGCAAATCTGGAAATAACTGAAGTATGCAAGGGCTAATTTCTCAGAATCTCTGTTTCCTAGCACCTCAGTGAACATGTCTTTTGGATACTTAAGACTCTTTGTCACATATACTAGAGAATTTCTGCTGAACTCGGCTACTTGATAAATCCAGTTTTTACATCTTGATTTCTTAAGTATACTAAACATAACTTTTAGTACTGTTTTGGATTTGTGAATACTCATTGCAGCTGTATAAGGGAAATCTATTTTTATACTCCCTCCAATCTGACCACATTTGATGAATTGAGACACTACCAAGGACCAAGTCATACTAAAAACATTTTTAAAGTTTGTATTTTCAATTATGTTGAAATTCCTATAGAGTTATAATGTAATCTGATCCAGTCTGCTCAGCCAGTCAGCAACAAATATAACAGAAGCCCAGCTCACTCCACTTCTTTATCAGTTGCTATGAGGTTACATAAAGACACCGAACTTTTGGAAGAAAATACCAAATCATCCATGCTAAGATGTTACTTTCTCACAAATGTAATTATTTGTGTGTTTGGTTTGTTGGGGTTTTTTTAAAGAAACAAATGGCAGGCTGCTCCAGATTAAAGTCCGCATGCCCTACCAATTTCCTTTAAACTCAGCAGGGAGCTGTGGGTTCAAACTTTATCTTGTTTCCTATTAAGCAGGCCCGTAAAGGCAGCTACCATAAACTATAGAATAAAGACTTAAAAACGGAGTTTGGAAAGGCAGATGTAACTATTCTAGTGGTTAAAACAGATATAAACATAAATGCTAGCACCACTAAGGAAATTTACGGAAAAAACAGAGTCAAAATTATCACAAGAAAAAAATTAAAATCATTCAACCTGACAAATGAGTTTCTTTTTAATTAATTCAATTAACGGATTAGGCAAGGAAGATTTCGTCAATAATGAGGACCCTAATCTAGCTGTTGGGAAACCATGGCTTGTCTTCCTGCCTTCCCCCATGTCACGCACAGGAGAGGCTTCTCAAACTACCGAATCAGGACTTAGGTGGACTTGCAGCAGCCTGTCTGAAATGCAGGCTCCCTACACTCCCCGGTAACACCTAAAATTGGTAAGTCATTTTAAGCCACAGAAATTTGCTAGGCACTGAGCAGAGGCATGTACATATACTCCATGTGCAAATGGGACACATGCCTGTGCTTCAAGGACATGTGAAAAGACACACAAATGCCACCTATGCACCAGGAGAGTCCACAAAGTTACATGTTCTCAGGTAATCCCAAACTTACTCAGCTGCACCGTTTTCAGATTACAATGGGGGAATGGCTGCAGCCCCCTTTTACAGGGCTGCAAAACCCCAGGATTACACCTGTGAAGTAAATGAAAGGGAGCTCCAGAAATATACTTAACAAAGGATGTGGCCATGAATGTTTCCATGTACACCTCTAACCATTTCAGAGTGAAAGTGTATTTGCTATGTTGAAAATCATCAAAACCCTATGATATTTTTATGACATTCCAAAACCATCCCAAATGCCAAGCACAGGAACCACGTGAAGGGCTGAAGTCAAGTACTGTGTTCTCTGAGCTGCTGGTAAACAGCTCTGCGTATGGACAGACTCATCAGCCTGTCTGAAATGAAGGCAAAGGAGAGCTGGACCTAATATTAGCACAACCTAGTGTTAGTCATATTGGCTTCCCAACTCAGAGTCAACTTTGCTGTCCCACATCTCTACAGAAGTCTGTAGTATGGAACACACGGACCAGCTTGGCACCTAACCTTGGGTTACCGAATGATACCACTTGGGTTATTTTTCTCATGATCTGCAGGTAGAGCCATTTCAGAAGAGCTTTGACTAAACCCTCCCTGGATACAGATGGTGCCACATACTTTGTGGACCTACAGGGGCTTCACCAAACAATTCACCACCAAGAAATAATTAAATTCCTTCTGGAAGAAATGCCCCGTGAGGAGTGACTGAGGACTTTGGGTTTGTCTAGTTTGGAGAAAAGGAGGCTGAAGAGTGACCTCATTGCTCTCTACAGCTTCCTGAGGAGGGGACGTGGAAAGGGAGGTGCTGATCTCTTCTCCCTGGTATCCATTGATAGGATGCGTGGGAATGGTTCAAAGCTGCGCCAGGGGAGATTTAGGCTGGACATTAGGAAGCATTTCTTTTCTTTACTGAGAGGGTGTTCAAACCCTGGAGCAGGCTTTCTGGAGAGGTGGTCGAATCCCCAAGCCTGTCAGTGTTTAAAAGGCATTTGGACAAAGCCCTTAACAACATGCTTCAACTTTTGGTCAGCCCTGAATTGGTCAGGCAGTTGGACTAGATGATCATTGTAGGTCCCTTCCAACTCAGACTAGTCTAGTCTAGTCTATTCTATTCTAAATGCTGGACTACACACCACGGATCAGTGCACTGCGTACCATGATTCTCATGGACAAATGATCCAGCAGACATGGTCATCACAGTCATTAGTGTATCATTCAGTACGTTTCCATCTTTTTATCTATTGGACTACATTTTGCATAAAAGTGGTACAGTTAAAGTGTGCGTGTGTACACACCCAAAAGCACAAGCTCTATTATGATCAATCCTTTTAAGTTGTTCATACTTTTTCAAGAAAAAAATAGCCTTTTTAATTTTTCATGAGTTATCCACAGTTTAAACTGATCTTTTCTTCACATTTTCTGCAGAAATTGCTCACCCAGTCTTTTTACAGCCCTATCTTTGGGAAATGCATATCCACAATAGTCATGGCTGTATATTTAACTGAAAAAGTAAACTCCCAAAGGGTAACAGGTAACAAATTGTCTTTGAAACAATGTTGAGAACTATGGTAAGAGTTAACTTGGGAGTCAATTCCGTATTTTTCAAGCTATGACTGTTCAAAGTTCTTTGGGGGCCAAGCAGCTGGGTTTTCAGTTGCTTTTCTTTTCCTACTCTAAAGTAGTTCCAAAGCTCAGTGCCGTGGAGTGCTTTTCTGTCACTAAAACTTGCAATGACCTAAAGAGTCCTACAAAGCCTCAAAAGTGGATGAAGAAATCTGGAATAATGTAAACGCAGTGTCTTCTGTTTGAAAACAACACTTAGAGAACTAGCATATGTAGATATCCATACAAATATACTGAAATCTTCCAATGAAGATCAAATATCTTTTAAAAAAAGATACCTGTCAGTTCCAGTGCAAGTTATGGGTTTCCCATATGAATTGAAGGATGAAATTTTTAACTTGTTTCATGCAGGAACAGGACTATATGTAAAAATACAATTGTTCCAGGCCTGCATCAATGTGTCTTCCCATGGAGCACTACTTTGATGCACAAAATCAGCAAGAAGATTTAATCACTGTGGCCCAAAATTTCCATTCTGACTGTCAAACAACATTAAGAGTTTCAGAGCTATCACCCTGAGCAAATTTTCCGGTGGTTAGATAATTTGACAGCACTGAGTTCTCTGCCTTTTCTGAGTCCATCTAATTAAGATTTCATACATAGCAAACAGAAGTTAAAGGAGATTCATAGTAAGAGAGAAAGAAAATTGTACTTCTGTGTTTACTATACCTGCAGTAAGACAGTACCCCCTGGGATTGTGAGCTGTAAACAGTACTTAGGGGCATTCTCCCAGGAGAGCAGTTGAACATCCTCAATAGCACTGTAGGAAATGGAGTTCTCCATGTACCCAGTTGGCTGCAAGAAAACAGAGGAGAGGAAAAAAATGTTTACTTAGTCATCAGAAGTTTCACAATTTCAAAGTAAGAACAGCACTATCAAAATTACTCTTGGTGTTGAAAATATCCGCAAAATATCTGATTGGAAAGCAAAATTCCTATACAGGCCATTCAACAGAGAGATCCAGCCAGCCACCTTCATCCAAGTTGTTCAAGTGTTAAGATCACCCACATAAAAACAAACCAGGCCAGACCCAGGTACCTGAAATACAAAAATGTCAAACTGCATTTGTTCTGGACCCAAAATCAATGGAACATAATCTCAGGTTGAACTGAGCTATGAAGGGGTCTGGCCGTGCACATGCTATCAATGTACGAAGAAGCATCTCATTCATACATGCAGAACAGCAGTGTACTATATTAAGGCAGTTTTATTCCATGCATTCTTGTTGTTCTCCCTGGCTGCAAGGTTGATCAAGCACATCATCAAAATCTAGACTGCTACATTTGACAGTGGCTCTTGGGGCTCCAAAGATTCAGCCCTCAGCTTTTACACTCAAGCAAAAGCAGAGCAACCAACCTATTCATCTCAGCCTACATGTAAGTACTGGTTTCCTGCACAGACTACTGATGCCCATTTTCAAGTGAAAGCCACAATTAAAACATAAATAAGTAACTGTGCTTTGCAATTACACGTACAACATAAATTGACAGTAGCAAGGAAACAAAGTTAAATATGAAACTCCCTATTAGTATCCCCATAATTCTTAGCCATTACAGAAGTACAATTATCTCTGAGATAAGCTGAAATATAAATGTATATACGCAAGCACACGTAAAATTATGTCCTAAACATAAGTAAACACACAGAGATATAGCTGTGTATCTATTGAGTATGCGTACATACATCATACTTTATGCAAGTTTTCATGTTGCTTAAGTAATTTAACAGAGGTCTTCAAAGACATCGTTTATTTCACTTTGCTATAGCGTAAGCAAACTGATCAGTATTGCTATGGCAGAGAAACTATTTTCATACAAAAATACTGATTAATCCCACCATGTGGATAAACCATTGGGTTAGCCATGTCTTGCAAGAGAATAGAGCTCATTACATTTATGAATTATTTTCTCACTATTACTGGTTTACATGTAACTTACTCCCTACTTCTCAAACTCACTCCCACTGTGCCCAATACATAAGTTATTTTTAACTGACAGTCTTGAAATAAAGAAGGCAAGGGAGAAACCACATCTATTTCAGGGTCAAACAGGGCCAACTCTTAAAATCACAACACAGGATTCCTGGGGGCGAGTGCGAAATAAGCAAATTGCATTTGGAACGTCTCTACTTCTTATTGGTACAACTTTCTTCCATAAGTTAAGTAGGTGGTGCATCTGGAAATCATACTTTGAAGTTATACACTTCATACATGTTCATAAGGCCATAAACGTCATCTGCCAAAATGCAATGATGGCCCTGTCATCCACCTTTGCTGCTACAAAAAGTCAGTTGCCTTTTCAGCAAGAAAAACCCAGCAAGCCAGGGAATTGAACTTCAATGTATTTTTCACTAACACTTGTTGTGGCAGCGTTCATTTTACACTAGCCCTCACTGGAAACAATTTTCGCTGTCTCTTTAACGAAAACCTTGTTATGCAGGAAGTATGATAAACTTCTGCTTATTCATTTACCCACAATATTGTTCTACACTAGTGACTGGAATCCCAATGGCTTAATGCTGATACTGTACGTCATGTGTTGCCTACTGGAGAGTAATTATCTCCTTCTCACAGGAAGCGAAAGACCCAAGATCCTTCGGTAATCAGCATTACAACACTCAGGGAAAAATATGAAAACAGCCAGCATAAAATCTAGTATGCTCAGGAGGCAAAGTTATCAAAAACATGCTCTGAAAGACTGGAGAAGGGAGAAATCCAGAACCAGCGGACGCAAATATAAAATGAAATTAATCAAAGCAATTTAAATTTCTCTCTTAAGAAGGTGCTGACTGCCCTCAATACCCTCCATTAACTTCAAAGAGCATTTGAAGAATTCTCACAGAATCTGTTCCCAAGAGAAGCCTCTTCTATACCTTAAACCATCCATTTAAACAACGTTAAAGGTAACTGATCCGGTTCAATCAGAGGTCTGTAACCACACACAAGTGATTTCATCTCAGGCATAACTTATTCTCATAGGACAGTCCTTTTAGTTAAGGAGAATGGAGGAACACAGAGTTCTGCCGTCTGCAAAGGATGGGAAGACTACCTAGACCATAGCATGGAATTACACAGATGGTTCATCTCTCCAAATGAAAGCATTATGCCAGTGAGGTAGTTTATATAGCACTCATATGATCCCACTTCCATACCTTCTATCCAGCCATACCTCACACACTGTACCTTTACCACAGTTGTTTGCTATCTTACTCAAAAAATGAATAGCCCAAATCTATTTTAATCCCTATAAGCAACATTATATGCATTGTTTCTGTTTTCATTAAAAACACCACGTTCTAGGGAGTGAAATATTTTCAGTCCTGAAAACACCAGCTATAGGCAGCTTCACCACTGTTTTGCAATTGAAAGAGTCGAAAGCAAAGTGATTTAGCGCTGTGTAGAGCTCCCTGAAATTGTGCTTCTAGATGCTGTTGAACACTGAAGACCACACTCCCATATTAGGGCTGTGCAGAAATGCTCTGAAGAAGCACTGAAACAGAGCTGTCCTCGGACCGGAGGCTTCCCGGACCTCACAAGGCTATGGTGCTCCTCACAGAGAGACCATGGCACTAATGAGGTGAAGGTCAGCCCCACACAAAGGCATCCTTTCCCTAATCCCTGCACACACACAGATGCGAGGACAGAGCGGTGTTCCCCAGTAGTGTTTTCACAAGACCAAGCAGAGTTCAGCCGTTTATCAGGAAACGGCCTGTGGTAAAACCACAGCCTGAGTCACTGGTTCCTCTTAAAACGCAGGCTATTTTGACATTCAGGTATGCGAATGTCGATCACCATGAATCATTGTGTTCGATAAATAAGCAGTGCAAGTGTTGCACGTTCTCATGTTCCAGCGGGTCTTGCTTGCACACACCCCCGGGAGCTGCATCCTCAGCCCCAGGTCACTCCATGGGATATGCAAATTAGAACACCGCGCAAGACCAGAAATGTGCATTCAGAGGTTTGAAAACACCTAAAATGACACCGATCCTCAGTGGGTCACCACGGAGCATCTGGCATCAATACCAGCCTTAAGCAGCATTCTCACCTCCATCTACCCACTTTGCCTCCACCCATACAAATATTTGGCTGTGGCGTCAGGCAGATCAGGGAACCCATCCAGCTTTTGCCAGATCACTTTTTAGCTCCTTCGGCCCCATTCCTTCGGCCCCATTGAAACTAGTATGTTAACGTAACTTAGGGGACAGCATATCATGGGGAAGGCAGTGAGCAGTGAGGACCTGAATATTTCAGTCTAATTTATTCGTATGAGCCAGTCTACAGCCACAGCATCTTTGAGCAGTAATGCATCAAGTTCAGTTGAAAATGCCTTTATTTAAGAAAATAATAATTCTTATTTTTATAGCTGTCCTTTTTGAAAGGAGATTTGTATTTCTTGGCAAAGTCTGAAATCTATCAAACGAAGCAAGATAATGCACTTTTCTCATTCACTCTACAAAATTAATCCTGACTTAGAAAACTTTGGCCAGAGAGTCTACATATGTCAGCTTACAGATTTACAGTTACAGTTTTAACTTCTGGTCGTTTGCTTTTGAACACGTTCTGAAAAACTGTAAGAGACTCATAAATGAAAATGAAATTTATTACAACAAACAAAAACCCTAAGTCAAGGAAACATTTTTCTCTTCACATTAGCCTTTAGCCTCCTAACAAAACATGCAACTTCTCCATTGGGAAATCAGGTATGTTTTAACCTCAGTGAGAAGTGTCTTTTTTCAGTTCCATAAAGATTTATTAATCATACAGCTTTGAAACAGCTTTGTACCAGAATAGCCACACACCAAAACGTACTATAAATCAAATCTTAGGGGAATCCAGTGCTCCCAAAACTGGAAGAACATGTAAGCTCATGCGTAGGGCTAGTTTTCTCTTAGCGTTTCTGGGAAAAGTCAGCAGCAGCAGACTACTCAATAATGCAAAAATCTGCCCACTTGTTTCCATGGGAAATTCTAAAAGGGAAAGAATAAACATGACGTCCATTGTTAATATGAGGCTTGTATGCACTTACTCATACAATAATGTACTAAATCTTCAGCTGCATATTTTCCAACGAAAGCGTCTAGAAAAGATGAATTCTACAAATAGAGATGGTTATTTGCATTAAAATATTTAGACTGACAACTCCCACCAACACAACAACAATGAAGAATGATTTTCCCAATTAAATACTCCAGATGGTGGGGGGAAACGGGGCTATTCCAGACCCTTGCTCTTCCACTGTCAGGGGCTTATTTCTTTCTTGGCTGCTCTTAAGAATGAGCCGTGCTGCTGTAGCCCAGAATGATGAGCATACTGTATTACATATAAGTTTTCCATATGCAAATAAGATTTTTTTTTCAACATGTAGGAAGAGTTGATTGCTCTCAAAACTTTGATGGGGGTGGAGACTATTCAGTCGGCACACTGAAGGGTAATGGACTCTGAAACTGATGAAAACAATGGATGATTTGAAATAAATCTCTGCTAGGAGACATCCATGGCTCCAGAGTACGCCCCTGCAAACGTAGCTATTTCAGATAAGAGCAATTAACATCTTTGTTCATTAACTATATAACGTATCAGAAGACATTTATCAAGTTAAGCAATTAGTAGTACTACGCCATAATATGCAGCGCAGTACAATCTGTCTCACTCTTCATATGGAAGAATTTACTGCCATGCTCACTTGTCATAATGACTTGAAAGAGTTTAAAGTCAATGTTAGTCTGATGGAGATTAACGTGATAAGAAAACAGACAGAAAGACTAACAGCGGAGAGACACCCAACTCTGCCC